CCCAGCGCCGGGGTGGCGGTGCCGCAGCCCAGGCTCACCCGCTGCGGCGGCGCTTTCCGCGCACCTCTCCCTCTCCCTCTCCCTCTCCTTTCCAGCCCGCTGGAAAAACTTTCAGCGGAGCAGCCGGCCGGGAGCAGCGCGGGTTCCTGCCCCCGTCCCCGCGGCCGCCCCGGGATGCGCTGCCCCGCTGCCCCGGGCGGGCAGGGCCGGAGCGCGGCTCCCCCGCTCCCCTCCTGCCCCGCGCCGCTGCTGCCGCGGGGGCATCCGCGACCCCCGGGCGGGGTGGGGGCTCCCGGCTCCGCACCTCCGAGGGCTCGGCGGCGATTGGCAGAGCCCGGCAGCGCCGTCCAGGAAACGGCTCGGGTTGCAGCGGGGGGAGTGACCGGGGGAGGAGGAAGGAGCCGGAGGAGTGCGCCGAGAGGGGGGGAGAAGGGGGCAGAGAAAACCCACCTCCCACCCGAGGGGGCTGTCGGCGTGACAAAGCTGCGGCGGCTCGGGGCGGGCGGCTGGATGGAGCGGAGCGGGACCCGCGGCGCGCTGCTCGGCGATGCCCGCGCGGGGGAGGAGGCAGCTGGCGCCGGGCACGGCGGGCTCGCCCCTGTGAGGCGGTAGCCGCCGCGGCCGAGCCAGGGCACGGCACGGGACGGGGCGCCGGGCCGGCTCCTGCCTCGCCTCGCCGCCCTCCTGCCTGCCCGGGGCGCGTCCCGCGGGGGATGCGCGGCGCTGCGCCGCTGCGGGCTCGCCAGCCGCGGCCGCCCGCGCCGTGACCGCGGCCGCAGCCGCGGGAGTTCCGCCCCGTCCCGGGAGCCGCCGCTCCGCAGCGGAGCCCGCCCGGCGCTCTCGCCGCAGGTAAAGGCAGCGGGCGGGCCGGGGAAGGGCGGCCCGGGGCAGGGCGGCCCGGGGCAGGGCTGGGGGTCCCGCCGCGCTCCCGGCTCCGGGCGGGGCTCGGGGGTCCCCCGGTGCGGGGCTGGGGGTGCCCGGGCCGGGATGCGCCGGTGCGGGGCTCGGGGGTCCCCCGGTGCGGGGCTGGGGGTGCCCGGGCCGGGATGCGCCGGTGCGGGGCTCGGGGATGCCCCGGTGCGGGGCTGGGGGTGCCCGGGCCGGGATGCGCCGGTGCGGGGCTCCCTTTGCTCCGCGGTGGAGCTGCGGGTCGCGTTGCGGTCGCTCGGTCGCCGCTGCGGTGCGGGGGGAAGCCCGAGCAGCAGCGCTGTTCCCCTGCCGTTCCCGCATCCCCGTGGGTGTCTTCGGGGATGGTTCCAGCGGTGACAGCAGCACGGGCGGAGGAAGGGAGGCTCGCCCCGGAGGAGCAGCCCCGCCTCGGTAGCGGCCGCGGGTCGGATCCCGGTCCTGCCCCGCCGTGCTGCGGGAGCGGGGCTGCGGGGCACAACCGCCCCGTCTGGGACAAGGGGGGAGAGAAATCGTCAATGAAATATATATTTAAATGCAAAACGGCCCCTTCAAACTGGGACCCATTATGCGTTTGGTGTGAAACGCTATCAACATTTAAAACTTTATTGTCTCCTTTGTACCAAATCCCTGTAAATCTTCCACTAGCCTTTTCTCATTTTCATCTGAAAAGCCTGTTTGGGCTGAATAGACAGCAATCAGCAGCCTCTGGACTTCTCCCGCTCTCTGGAATGTCAATTAAAATGCAGATTTTTCTTCCCCCCCCCTCCCCGATCTCTTGGTGGCAAAAGACTTGAGAAAAACAGGATAGTCCTGGAAAGCAAATGAAAGAAGTTCAAACAATGAAAAAGTACTGAAGCTGCCAGCCGGTTCCCATTAGTCCTTCAGAATTAATGTTTAATAGCTGTGATACTCAGATTTGCTTGGCGATTGAACTCTGCTGAAGAGTCTTGTTAGATATATATGTGTATGTATATTTTTATAGATGGATGTATATTTCTGCATTTTCTGTCCATACACAATTCTTCTGTCAGTGGAATTGTGTATATAAAGCTGTTAGCTTTAAAGCTTCTTCAACCTGGATTTTTTCTGACGAAGCTACTAGGCTTTTAGAGCCCTTGAGGTTTCTTTGTGGAGGGAAGATCCATATTTCACTCAGATTTTGCTATTCCCCGCCTAATTGAGAAAGATGCTGAAAAGTTATACAGTGACCAATGCATTGATTTGGTTAACATACTCTACAAATCGTGCTGTCCCTGGGGAGTGATAAACATCTTATAAACAACAATGCAAGTAGATTAAAAAGAACACTGAGAATTGAATTTAATTAATGTCACTGCTGAACAAGTACTACTTGTTTGTGTGTGCGAGTGTGTTTAAACTGAAGTGCAGCTTGGAGGAATTTGGTTGGGCTCCCAAACCAGTCTGCTTTCCCATGCTTGTCAGTTTGGCAAAGAAAATTTGGGCAGGTATGTGACGAGGTGAAAATTGACTTGATGAGCGAGTGGCAAGGAGAGCCATCAATCATTGGGGGCTGACAACTCCTCCCCAAAGTGTAGGCTGAGAAGAGAGACAGAGTTCCCTTTCAAGGGGAAAAATAAACACTACGTGTGGCTTTCACTGAGTCTGAGACTCCAGGAGGGATTATGGTATTGTAGTCAGGAAGCCAGAATTGTGGAGGCCAAAAAGCATGCTGGGGCTGTGTTCCAAACATTGAGATAGAGGTACATAATTATCCAGCACAGGAGGTCTTTCCAGGGACTCGTCCCCCAGCAACTGTGGCAATTAAACTATGAAAAGAATTTGGTTTCGTTGCATCTTCGCTGGACTCCACTTCTTTTGGGAGAGGGCAATCCTTGAAGCCTGTCTGCTGTCCTGGTGGTAGAGTGGTTTGGCTCCATGGATGGGTGCAGAGCTCTGATTTTTGCATCGTTGCGCCTTCGCAAGGCAGGATTTTGGGTTTGCTGCTGCCCTGTGGATGAAGAATCCCTTCTTTCTGCCGGCAGATGTTGAGGTGCAGGAGGCAACAAAAACCTTCAGGTGAGGAGACGCGTGGCCAAGTAGCTTTGTGCGGCTCTTCAGGATTTAGGGTGAGGATAGGAACCACAAATGTGCTGTCAGTGGTGTTTAGTGTAGTCTGAAAATCTGAAACTGCAGGAATGTCAGTGGAATTAATGCTCTTGGAGTTTGAAATACATGCTGGCGTTCTGGTATGTTTTCTTTCTGCAAAACCGTGATAGGATTTTGCATTTATCAACATAGGCTTTAATCGGAGTTTACAGGATGATTTATGGAAATGAAATCAGCATTACAGCCAGGCTGTTAATGAGGGGTTTCTACCCACTTTACAGCTGGATAAACTGAGCTGCAGGGCTGTGGCTGCCAGACAGCGAGGTGGGCAGTGGACCTGGGTGGTGGCATCCAGGGGGGTTTGCTCCACGCACAGAGTGGTCCCAAAACCAGAGCTCTCTTCAGCTCTACACCTGCTCTCTGCTTATTTAGAGAAGGGCCGGGCAAGCTCTTTGCAAATGTTTGTGCCGTGGTCTGGTGGTGTTTTCGCTGGAAATGTAATGGTAGTTGCTAGCTTGTGGTCTGGGATGCTGGAGCCAGGCTGAAATCTTTACAGGAAGGGACAGGGCTTTGAGGTGATACCAACGGAGTTGGAAAAAGCTTGCCCTGAAGTAGCAGGGATTCACCTTGTATTGTTTTCCTCAAGTGATTTATTTATGTCATCCAAAACCTGTTTCTACTGACTCCAAAAGTTACTGTGTATAGTGCCCAAGATAAAAGATGCCCCAGCAGCATTTGTGAACTTTGTAGCAGCTAGCGCAAGGCTAATAAAAATCAGAATCAACTTTTTAAATGGTTGGCTTTATAAAAGGAGAATCTTTGTCCCTGTTTCAGCATGCTGAGGTACCACACCAAATCTTAATGACAAGAAGTTTGGAGAAGGTTTACATTATCTCCACACTCCCTTACTTCTTCTTTTTTTTATTATTTTTTTTATTTTTTATTTTCAAGTGTTGAGGGCAGGAGGGAAAAAGAGGTTTTGTGTTTTTTTTTCCCCTTCCAGACAAGTGCTCTCCAAATTTTAGTTGAGTTTCATCACATCTAAGATGAATCATTGACCAGATTAGAACAATTGCTGCAGTTACTTGTTTTATCCATTTACTGAGGTTTTACTTTTATTTCTGAAGCGGAAAATCAGGTCTCATTTTCTGCTTGAGCTGTTAAATCACCCTGTGAGGAGGATGCTCTTCTGACCCTCACCTGGCATCTCAGTGTGGAGGCAACAGGGTCCCCTGAAGGGAGTGCCAGTTCCTTTCATGCCACTTCTGTCAGACCGTGGCTGGATTATCACTTAACTTCATCCATTTAAATTTGTTTTATTGTGAATAAGATAGACTCTTTTTTTTTCCCCCACCTCTGAAAAATATATCTCAATAAGCATCACTGAGAGACTGAGCAAAGAAAGTTTTGTGCACAAAGGTTGGCATGTATGGATGGAAAGTGGTGATTGTGAAACAGCACTCTCTACCATATTTTATACAGATTTTAATTACCTGTAATGCAGTGTAGCAAACCAATATCACTGCAAAGACTTGAGCCTTTCACCTGACAAGGACTCAGGGGTTTCCAAAGACCACTAAACTGAGTCAGAAGAAGGTACATCCATGAAATAGTCTTACAGATTTTTCCAAGTCTGAGCAGTATATTTTTTCAACTGTTTTTCTTCTGGAAAATTACTGAATTCCTGCAAATTCGTCTGGCTGCAGAACTGCCTAGGTGAAGGAATGAAAAACAAGGCAAACTTACATAAACCTTCAAACAATAACAAGAATATAATTTGTATAATTGTGGTAATTTTGTAGCATTACAGGTTATATGCCTGCACATGTGTGTGCCTCTCATTTTTTGAAAACCTGTATGTTTTTCTGTCAGTAAAATAGCTCTCAATATGTGCTGAGAAGTGATTTTGTGAAAACAAGGAGGACTTGGTTACGCCTCAGGTGATGATGGAAACTGCTAACAGAAGATGAAAAGTCACTCACTTTTCACATATTCTTGAAGCTGGAAAACTACTTTCCCCATCCTCCTGCTCCCCTCCCTCTCACCTCAGCTCTGTTGGAGGCTTTATGAAGTTTTTGGTTTGTGTTTGGAGATGTTTTTGCTGACAGTGTTCCATCTCTCTCCTCCCCGCAGCAGCTGTCGTTCCAAGGGAGGAGGCATTACCCTGGCCGAAGGCACGGCTTTCTCTCCATGCTTCTCTAGAGGTGTTCAGATGGGATTAAAGTCCACATGGAGATATGGAAATGGACCAGGAATTTACTCTAAAAAGATGGTCAGCTGGGATTCGGGTTGCCTTATCTGCCTGGTGGTGGTCACCATGGCTGGACTTTCCCTGGCTCGACCTTCATTTAATTTAGTTGTTGAAGACACCACGGTGGAACCCGAAGGTAAATCACTCTCGAATACTTAATTCCTTAAAAGAAGCTAATTTTAAATGCTTGGACATGTGGAATAGAAGTCAAGATCTTTCCATGTGCTCTGGTAAATCTAAGGCAAGTAGCAGAGCAGCCCTGGCGAGTTACGGTTTCTGACTTTCCCTGCTCTCGCCTGGGCTGTGTTTGTACAAGCGTGCGTTTGTTTATTCTTGTGCAAGCCAGTGGTGTCAGTGATTTCACTTGGGACTGTCATCACGTTGTATAATCAAAGTGTGCAGATGAAAGTTTTCAGGAACGGGTCTTTAAGGAAACCACTCTGTGGCACTTGGGTGTTGCTGTCTCAAGGAACAAAGCGGATGAGTGGCTGCTGCTCTTTGGGATTGTCTTAACCTGAGGAGTCCAGAGAAAAATGAATCTCTGTGGTTTTCATTTGGGAATGTTTAGTTTTGCTGGGCACGCTGCAGAAATGCTATGGCAGCTTTGTTGGTGTTTGTACTCAGGACAAACGTCCCTGTTGCTGTTAATATCCAGGCACAATCGGTGGTGCAGTGCCTGGATCACAAGTTCTGAAGATGTGAATGTTGAGATCTCAATAGAAGGGCTGGAGTTTATTGCTGTGAGAGCAAAGGCCAATCTAGACCTTCACGTTGAAAGAGGTGTTTTGATAAAATCTCCTATTTTGAGCTTGCACGTGTTGGTATGTTCTTCTAGGTTTATCTGCTCCTCAAGCTTTGCAAAGTGGTTTTCTTCTCTGGAGAGCTCAGGAGAGGCTGCTTTTTCATTGTTGTGAGCTGATTGTGTTGAAGAATGATTTTACTGTGTTGTGCTGGATCATTCCTGCTCTCTGAGCATCTGGGGGAGGAAGTGAGGCTTCTTTCATAAGGTTGTATCTGCCTTTTGGAGGAGTGATCACAGTTCTAATAACTCAGCTGTCAAGCTGATCTAATAGTCCACAGAGCATTTCTGACCTGGCAAGCTTGCTGCAGAGAGTTTGGCCTTTACACAATCTACTACTCATGTCCATGGATGCAGCTTCGTTTTTATTTAATAAATATTCATGCAAAACTTATTTGTTTCTATCCACTGCCTCTAAAAATAGACGTCACCAGCTAACGCATTTTTAGAATCCACTCCAAGTACATTTTTATTGATGGCAGGGGATGAACTATTTAGAGGTGATGAGCCCTCTTCCCTAGCAAACATTCCTGAAAAAAATTCTCAAAGAATAGCAATATTGTCATCTGTCAGGCACAGAGATTGTTGATAGCAAAAATGCTTGGGTTTTTTGTTTTTTCTTCTTTTGAAGGTAACCCGAGATTTAAAAAAAAAACCAAAACCTCTTGTTGCCACTTACTGTATGATTTGTTAATTGAACATCTGGTGCCTTTTTGGCTTTTCAGGAGAACGACAAAATCATGAATAATTCTGGTTTCAGCTTAGCTTTGTAGTGAGGTCCCCTAGTTTTAGGGTTAAGTCAGAAATAATGTGGTTGAAGATTGGCAAAGTGCTTTATGGGAAGAAGAGTAATATTTTTTGAATGGTGACTGATAATTTTGCAACTTTTCAGGGAAAGAATAGCTTTCATTATTTTGGAAAGCACAGTTTGAGACTATATGTGTCGTACACACTGATATGTAGGGGGTGGAATCTGGGTTTTATCAAAGAGTAAATTGTTAAAAAAGATTTAAAACTTCTTTCCTGGGAAGGAATGTTACTGATGTGAAACAATTTTTGATGTGAGAACCAAAATCATTACCAGAAACAAGAAAAAAAAAATCAAAACGCTTCTAAGTTAATGGCATAATAAGAGCTTTTATGCTGCAGAATACAGGGAATTGTGTGGGTTTTATATCTGAGATTTGGGAAATAAAACCTCCTTTATGTATTTCATTAAACCCTTTGATAAGAAAAAGCAAACCAAAACACAACCAAGGTTTTTACACAATCACCTTCTCTGGGTTCTGTCACTGCCACCCACAAGCTCTCCAAGCCCAAACCAAAAAAACCCTTCAAAAGATCTCTTCAAAGACAGAGCAGACTTCTTTTTTAATTTAGTAAATGCCAAAACGTTTTGTACACAGCTAATTTGGGGGGTCAGGTGCTTCAATAATGTAAATTTTCAGTGGGGCTGCTGACTGCAGTCATTAGAGCTATGACATTTCATGCCAGCTGAGAAGGTCGGCAGGGCCACGACCTTTGGTGACATTTGCTGATCTGCTCCTGAGCCTTCCTTCACGGACATGCCCTGAATTGTCTGTATTTATTTATTTATTTTTAATACAAGGTGCTTGGATTGTTATTGTTTATTGTCTTGGTGACTCAGACTATTGGAAAAGCTTCACACAGCATTAACGGGAATTGAGATTTGTTGCTTTGGGTGTAACAGAGAAAATGCCTTCTCTCAGCTGTGCATAACTTTAGGGGCACTTGCAATCCTTTTCTTCAGATTATCTGGCTATATATAAAAAATACTAAGGTATGTGCTTTAGTTCAAGCAGTATTTACCTAGCAGGGTAATCAGCTGATGGATATGTGCAAGATGTCATGCATTAAGGGGGTGCTGTGTCTTTTGGCTCTTTTCAGTCAGTCTTGAGTAAATAAATATCCTCTGTTACCACTGAGTATTACTCTGGTCCGCTTGAAAGTGTTTACACTGGAAATAGCATCTTGATCCATTGTGAGTGGTAATGTTGGTGCTGCTATTGTGGCATCCTGAGTGTGGTGGATCTCAGCTGTGGTGCTTTATTCCCAAGCAGTGATGGCAAAACCCAGGGCTGTTGAGCTGTGTGAGCAGAAACAGGACCTGCAGGACTTCTGTGGGGACTGCCAGCTCTCAAATTATCTCTCACATCAAGTGTTTACATACATGTTTTTTGTCTCAGGGAGCAGAGAGACTTTTTCTGCTTTTAAATGTTTAGAAACAAGCTTTCCCCAGCGTGTACAAAGGCACCATTCTCTCAGCCTGTGCGTGCCCAGGCCTTTGATGATAGCCAGCGTTTCACAAGGGCTCTGACCGCACACATGGGTTGAAGGGTTACTTTGTGAACTGAATAATTAGTTTGGACGTGTATTTGATAAATAGTGAGCTCTCCCTTGACCTCCCCTTGCCCAGGCTGTGTGTTATCATCCTGCTGGGGAGCTAATTTGGTCTCTTACCCCCATGCAATGCCTTGACACCATCCTTGGAGCACCCACTTGGAGCCCCTGCCCGGTGCGGTGGCAACGCGTTTCAGTTCTTTTAATTTAGGTCAAATTTCAAAGGATTAATTTAAGCTTTCCACAAGGGACAGCTTATTTCTGTGTCCTGTGGAAAACAGAGTAGTTCAGAATGGTCCTACATTTGGGAGATTCCCAGGAGCAGCAGGGAAGGGGAGAGAACCCCTTTACCGGGTGATGTGTGTTTATGGTGGAAGTGAATAATGAATTTTTCTATGGGATTTAATCGGTCATAGCCACTTGCTGACACAAAACAACATCCAAAAATAAGTATGTTCAGCAGAGTACCTTCCTTTCTGCAAAAATGTTGAGTCTTTTGAGCAACGTACCTTCATTTTTGTCAAAATGTTGGCAGTGCTTAAAGATTAATGTCACCTGTGGTCACAGTGGTCAGCACTGTCCACTTGGAGATCCTTCTTGAGCTGCTGTGAGCTGCCTGGGCCAGGATGGGGGATTTTGTGAGGTGCTCCAGTGTGTGCAGCAGGGATGCTGTGGTGGTGGGATGTCCCCTGTCCCACTCCCCAGTCTGGGGTGTCCCCATGGGTCCTCTCCAGCCAGTGCCACCCTGCCGAGAGGTCACAGGGCTGGAGGACCCTGCACATCCATCATTTATTTTCCTGGGACAGAGGTGGTGTAGAAGCACCAGAATGCTGCTTCTAGTTTGGTAGGGAAAAAAATAAAGCAAATGGTTCACCCGAACTTCTGACTGTTTTATTTTGGCTTTTTCTTTTTTAAACAAGAACAGCGGCTTTGATATCTGCGAGTTAAATTAAGAATTCAAAACGATTAGTTAAATCAGAGTCGGCTTCATATTTTAAATTTATTTAACTTTTAATTTTATTTCATGGAAGGGCAATTATTAAAGCCCATTATGGAGGAATGTGACGTCCCCACAGCTTCGGGTGAGGGCTGGCTGCCCTTTCAGGGATCTGGTTCAGTAAGTTATTTGGCCCAGTACAGGATTTGCTAGCTGAGATTCTGGGGAATTGTACAAGCAGCCAGATTAAATCAGTCTTAATGTGTCCATTCTGTGTTTAAAATCTGCAGCCCTTTAGCAGGAGCATGGTCTTGAGCTTCAAACTAATTGGACATGGGTAGGGTTGTTATTTACAGTCAGTGTTGATGAGACACTGGGAGTTGGTAGTCTCTCTGTGTGGCTACTATTTTGCAAAGTAGCAGAAATAATTGCATGTTTTAGGCTTATCTGCCATACAGTTTAAGCTTTTTGAAGGAGTATAATAGTTATTAACTTTTGGGAATTTGATTCCTTTAGTGAGGGTTTGTATTTTTTTTTTTTTGAGCCAGATTATCAAAGATGCTGACTTGTGAGGTTTTTTTATCTTTTTATTCTTTCTTAAAAATAACTTGTGTAGATAAAACTCCAAACCAGCAGCTGACTCCAATGAATGCATAGTTTCCTAATATTAAAATAGTTCTTCCTTGGCAGGGAAATAACAACAAATTTTGGGCCATAGCAACTTTTTTACAGGCAAGTTTGAAACCTCTGAAAGCAGAATTTACAATGAAAATGCTGACATCTCCAGTTATGCAAGTTGTGTATGCATGAGAAAATGGACTATTGTGATGTTTTAATAATACCCATGGCGTAGCTCTTAACGAGCTTATTTCTATATCCAGCTTCACTAGAAATGATCTTTAAATGGCTTTAAACAAAAACAGAGATTAGTGTTTTCTTAAAATGAGTATTTCGTTTAGGATCGGATGGGAGTGCTAGAAAAATACTCAACTATGTCATTTTCTGTCATTTAGGGAGAAAATATTGCTTATTGGAAGTG